ATTATTAAATTTGAATTTAAAAATTTTAATAAAATCGAGGTTATAAGCGAAATGAAAGGTACTTTTATAATTTTTGCGGGACCCATAAACAAAAATAATTATAAACAATCATCTAAGACTACCTGCCACCGGATTTCAAAGTATCTCCATAATACCGATCCGAATAAAATATAATGAAAACTATCCCTATCCTTATCCCTTTTGTGAGTCAAGTCTATATGTCAAAAGCACAATCTGCTTCAAAAAACTGCTTCTTGATTTATTTTCATCATTTTGTTTCATCTCATCAAGCCAATATCCAACTCTGACAGAAAATTTTGCCATTGATCGTCTATTTGGATCCGATTCTAAGCTTCTTTTGGCCAATCTTATATAGCATTTTGGCGTTCCTTCTCCGAATCCTGATTTTTCACATAGCAAATTCTCATCTAAAGTCTTGTTCAATATCAGATGATACATAGAGTCCCAAATCAGTAATATGCAATATGTAAATTATTATGCCAAATATTACAAGAATGCACATGCGATACAATATAATATCTTTCTTTATCATTTGAGATATTGCATATCTCAAAATAACTTTTAGTTGGATCGTCTTTCGTTACTCTATATCTTGTTATTCTGACGATTTTTTTATATCTTTGAATCTTCATTTGAATAGAACAGAATATCGAGCAACAGTATTTTTTTATAGTATAATAGAAATCAATTGTTTGGAAATGGCCAAATTATCCTTTGGTGCTTATTTAAAAAAAAATAAAATAAAATAATTGGGTTTCGAAGTTAACAAGAAAGCGATATTTCGAAAATAAATAGAATTTTTTCGATAGCATTTTTACTTGGATTATAAATCGGAAAATAAAATAAAATTCTCTGATTTTAACTTTGAAACCCCCTAATACTGTAATACGAATAATATGTATTTTATTAAGGATTATTGCGCAGTATATTTAAAATTTGGTAGATTTGATTGGTCACTGACTAATTAGCCAATTACATGAATGTTCTACTATAAAATTTATTTTTGATTTACTTTTTTAAAAAATTAAAAATAAAAATGTTTTTTGAAAATACAGTATACCGGAAATCTCTAGAATCATGCGATTAACATTTTATTACCATAAATGGTGTGATCGACATCGTCCATTTTTGGTAATATCCCTGACTGAAATATAATATGCTTATTAGATCTTCGTTGCTACATATTTTGAATAAAATTCTGAATTGTTATTAATTAAAATTTAAATACCAACCTAATATTAATATCACTTTAGATGATCGAACATTGCTTATTTACACATTTGGCTATTATAGCTTCAACTTGTGACTCAGTGGCATAGTAGATTTGATATACCTATTATTTTGTTTAGCTAAGTTCTAATTTGATGGGTTTTTGCATGTAATTAGCGAAATAAAGCTTACAATATAAAATACATGCTTATAACAAATTTTGCATCGCTTTTATTTTTTGCAAAGAATGATAAACCAATGACAATAAGTGATTTTATTTTATTAGCTTGATGACGTACGTATGTAAATACGTAAATTTGTTTCTAGTTCCGAATGTTCATACTGTTCCGATCTAGCTTTCCGAACTATCATCCGATCCCAACCTGGTACACATTTTCTAGGTGCCCAAATCATGTAGTTATTTGCCAAATTTACTTCATAATTAGTTTAATTCAAGTTCATAATATTCGTACTCGATTAATTATTATTTACCCGAATGACTGTTATCATTGTTTTAAAAACGCATCACAATAAAAAAAAGTCAATAGGGGTTGAATATTGAAAATATTAACTTATTTTTTTTTACAATTGTAAAGGGTTAATCAGATCAAATATCTAGACTAGATATTCGTCCCGTTTCTTTTTACCAGCGTTAATTATAAAATTGTACTCTGGTTAAATACTTAATTTATACTGAGAATTTCTTAATTTCATATCATAATTTATCCATTAAAAAAAAAATGCATAATAAAATTAACCTTACTAAAATAATAAAAATGTTAAACACAATACGTAAAAAATATATTATGCATAATAGTTGTAAATCATTTATTTACGAACATTTCCAAATAATAAACATCATAATTAGGCCACTCCAAGACTTGGTATTTAATTTTTTGACCCGAATAAAAATTAATATTGTTCTCGTCCGTATAACAATAAAGAAAATCCATAAATGTATTGGGCATATTAAAAAAAATCGCATAGTTCCTAGGTTTGAGACAATAAACGAAGTTAATAAAATGAACTGAACTTATAAAAGATTTAAATATACTACCTTAATAACTAAAGAAACTTAGTTAACCTTTTAATTCTTTATTTTTTCCAATACTAAATTGACAAGATTTCTAAATTCTTCAGGTTCTACTTCTTTCAGATAATTAAAAGTAAAATTTAAAGGCCTAATTTTTTCAAGAAAAGTTTCTAGATCGATCTGATCTTTTTCTATTGTTTTTCTTACATAATCTACCAGGTCAAAAACTCTTTTCAAACGAGCTGTTTCAGCTCTCTCTACTCCTTCAGTTGACATAGAATTCTTGATCAATTTGCTTATTTCTTTATTTTTAGCATCTTCATATTCAAAATTTTGACTTTCAATATGCTTAGAAAGCAAATTAAATTGATTGAAAATCGAGTAAACGATTGCCCATTCCATATTAATTTGTTGTTTTGTTGTAATGTCTTATTGCATCCATTCTATAGGATCATATGAACTCGATTTTGTTACAACTGGTGTAACAGTTGGAGTAATTGATTTGCTTTGATTTTTTAAACGCTATTCATAAATACGTGATTTAGTATGTTGCCTAATTCTTTTTTTTTTTGGAATTATCTGAGTTTGACATTTTGTAAAATCTGTAATAGATTTCGTAAACCAAACCAAAAAAAATAAAATAAAAAAAGAATTTTCTTACTCAAATGAACGGATTTAAAAGAGATATTATTAAAATAAATTTTAATAGGTTTTATAAATGTTGTAAATGTTGTGTAACGAAGAATCTGCATATGACACGTGATTCATGCATTTATCACGTTAACTTGTATGTTTTTAATATCTACTCAAGTTAATTTACTTCAAAAAATCATGAGGATTCTTTGAAACCAGGTAAGGTCTTGAAAGTCAGTGAAAGATGGTTTACGCGATTTTACATATTACTATAGCAACATTTTTAATCTTTCGTATACATCACAGAATGCCTAATCCTCCTTTGCTAATTTTTAAATATTATTTAGTCTATAAATAGAGTCCATTCATTTATATTTTCTTGTTAATTCTAGGTTGAAGACTTTTGATGCAATTATCGATTTCCTTAATTCCACTTGTCCGCTCTCGAATTATTATGCCTGACACCATGTTTGATACGCAATGTGTATACTGTAATACCTAATTATATTTTTGTTCTTGTGGCCTTTAAATCGAACAATTGAACACAAATAATTTCATGCTCACTTACTAATTAATGCCTTTCCCGTTCTCTTGCTAGAAATCTTTGTGCATAATTTGTGATTTAATCGTGCGCTTGTGTATTAATAATTTAAAAATATATAAACTTGCACGTGAATTTGTGAAAATGCGTAGCACGTTGATGTTATTTATTTTCATCTGAGCAAATTTTTTGCTACATATATAAGAAAAGTACATAGTATTCGTTATTATATAGCATAGTTTCTCTATTTTTTTATATGCGCTATTCTAATACATACTTTGTGTAACACCACCTTTTTTGCTTACCGTTAATTTTACGTTATTTGGACGTTATTTCAAAACTAAATATGCCATTTTAAGGGGCATGATATTTGAAATGATGCCCATACCATCTATTTCGAGAATTTACGGTAAATCCTATTTATTCCTTGTTTTGTATGATAATATCATGACGGTGGTTTAGCGACTTATAATCATTAATCAGTGAAAAAAAAGTTTCCAAAAACGTTTGTTAGTTCCTGGTTTTACGGGGAAATAACAAGTGTTGCTAAACAAAGCTTCAAGCAGAAATATATTATGTAATATCTTGACCATTGGTCGGAGAAACACATTTAATATCGGTACGTATCAAAAAGCAGAACTAATTGATCAGATGTTTTCGTCACGTAAATTTCAGAAACACGTAAAAAGCAAGCGAAATAATCGAGCCATTAGGGTCTAGCTTTATTGATATATAAAAAAGAAAGTTACAGGAATACATAAAAAATAAAAATTCTTCGTCTTCTAACACGATAGGGCTTCTTTTTAACAAAGAAGAATGTTGTGATAAAACAGTTGATATTGTTGAGTCCTGTGATAACATTGTTACATCTGAGAATTGTGATGCAGTTTTAACATTCTACGTATGGTACATGCGATCACGGCCTTACCATATAAGCACGAATAACGCGCAGGGGCGTTATTTCGAATAATGGCCCGAATTAAGCTTAATTTAGGCCAAATTTCAAAATTACACTCCTGCGCGTTATTTCGCGCTTATACGGTAAGAGTTAAATGATGCATGTATAAAAGTATGTACGTCTTTCAATTTTATAAATAAACCAACCTCTTTATACATGTATCGCATTTCTAATGAGTCGTCAGCGATATTAATTGTAAAAATCATAGTATAGTTTTCATTACCAAATATCCTTTTACTTTTAGACATTCTCGGTAAATCAATAGCAACTTTCGCAAGCTTATTTAATTTTTTACGTAAGATATTTTAGCATTACGTATTAATATATAATGTTCATGGGCTTCACAGTAGAATTTGCCCATCTATACTTATTATCGCAACTATTCTAATAATATATAACTTTAACGTGACTATGCTCACAATAAAATAAAATCAATACATCGGTCAATAAGTAATTAATTTATCTTGGTGATAACATCAATTGAATGTTTAGAAATATATATGTACTTTTTATCCCCGGTCTCCTTTGTGATTCGGCCTGCTCCTCCTCCTGTTCCCCACGCAAATAGCTTCCTGGTCCCCACATAAATTATTATCCAGGCTCACAAAGATCACCATGCCAATATTCTTTTTTTCGATTCTTAAATCAAAACATCCTAATTTCTCCTCTCTATTTGATATTAATTTATACCCATAAAATTGGACATGTGAGAGAAGCCCAATCTTTCTTCAACTTCGACCCCTGGTCCAAAGTATAATATATTGTATTCTTCTGGTCAGTTTCTAGATACCCCTTCTTGATTTCTAACAACCCTATTTTTTTAATTCTGGATGCTATTGCCTTAATCAGATTATTCTTATTTACCAAATTAATGTTATAGATTTAACACGATAGATAAAATCATATAATTTTTATTTTTGCAATTGTCTTATAATCTGGCGAGTATATATTCTTACAAGAGCCTTTTTGCAGAGCACTAGCTAAACATTAGATCATTACTGTACTGAATAATTATCCAGCAGTTTACTTGCTTTCTTGTAAATTTGGCTTCCAGGCTCATAACACGTTCAAGTTCTACCCTATAACGTAAATGTTCAAGTTCTTCTTTGAGAGATCCTTGGGGTGTGTTATCTTTTTGATAAGTAAGACAACTCAAAAGACTACAATGTTTAGTAATTTAATAAAATAACTTTTGAGAGCGTCGGGTATGGGAAGAATTCAGCTCATTGTTTGAAGGGCTTGACAATAGATGCTTCATATATGTACGTTGTAACAGAATTTTTTACATTAACTCATACATTAATGAGTAAATTTTGTAACAGAATTTTTTACAATCAGGTTGGTGTCTTGATTAGATGGATCATCTATTTCTTGAATTGTCTTTATTTAGATATTGTCACGCAAACTTAAATGTGTACGCGTCGCGTCAGATCCACACATTTGTATTTTATGAGAAAAAAAGATGATCATAATGTTCTCCATATGAAAAATCCGATCTTGACTTAATACTGTTAACATTTGATTCATAATTTTTTGAAGTTTTTCTTGCTCATCCAAAAAGTATGCCAAAGTTTGCATAGTTTTCCGTAATTGCTTTGATGAACTTTGTATAATTGAATAATAATTTTTGCTGACTCGGTTTCTTGCTGCCTTCGTGAGAACCGCCTTCGTGAGTACTTTTTTGAACTTGGAGTAAAGAATGACTTGTGTTATTTTATTTATCACAAAGTACTGTTTATACGATACAATTCAATAATATCCATTGTCAAATTTTGTACGAATCTTCTTAAAGGCTCTTTCTCTTTTTTTTTCTTAAAACGTTTACTGGCATTGCTTGATGCATTAAAAGCATTGTGTAGTCTTCAAATTCATTTATAAAGGTTATCTAATATACCCGAATATAATGGATATGTTCAGAATCTAGGGATTCTGTATCAATACTATGTTCATTAATCAAAATATCCATTTCTTTTGTATTTATTCTTGTTCTACAGTTTCCAATAATCTTTTGGATGTTAACGAAGCAAGCTAATGTACTGGAAATTTTCAGTTTTCAATGCATCTGTAATCCAAAGGTTTTCCACGTTCTATAATTGAAGAAAATAACCATCTATCATTAAACGTTATTTTTTTTTTTTTAGATATATATATATATATATGCAATTTTAATTCATACCAAGGCGTTCAACTCTAAAGAATATCGGATATAATCAAAAAGTATCCGGTATTTAAAAAATAATATTCGACCTGTTAGCAAAAGAGTAAAAACAAAAATTTAAGTAATGAATTAATTGTGATTAACGTATATAGACAAGTTACTGCCAACATCCTTATAATATAACACTGTAAAGATGAAGCCCATTTACTGACTATATACCACCTATATGCATCTGCTTCGATAATGAGAAGTCATAGAAAAAAGCCAAATATATATATTCCACAACTTTTTTCTAGAACTTCTCATAAGAAAACCAACGATTCATCATATTAAATTAATTTCCTCTAAACTTACACAATTGCACGAAAAAAGGAAGTCTACGTGACGCGCACAAGAACGAACATATTATAGCAAAAGTTTTCATTATGGCTTGTCAAAACATTCATGTTGTCAGGTTACACGGAAAAACCAATAACAAATATTTGTCGGGCGTATACGAATAGAGTATAACGGATGTGAGAATATAAACAGAAAGCTAGAAGGAAAATGTTTAAAAGAAACGATAGTGACTTTTGGCTCGCTACGTGGGTGATGGTGATACTATCCATATTTGACTATTAAACTATGCGTATAAATGAAATATCATTTAAAGATGAGTTAACAAATAGACCATTAATTTAAGTACAAAAATAATTTTATTTAATAGGCACAAAATTTTGTTGAATTTATATTAGAAAAGCTAGCTTGAAATATTATATACTGGTTTTTTTAGGAAAAAAAAAAAAAGTAATAAATCTGACGCGAAAAATGTTATCAATAAATCAATGATGAAACTAAAAATGAAATGAAACTTTAATCAAAATTAATAAAATGTAAAGTTGTAAAATTGAATACAATTTTCGTGAGTATATTCATTTACATTATTAAGATCTATTAAAACATCAAAGTTCTTTTCTTATAAATACTATCTATTTCTAAATTTTAAATAATAGGGATTAATTTTAAGAATTTTATGATATATATTCTACATCGGTTTAATTTGTGACAAGGTAAATAAGACTATTTTATTAATTGATTATCTTTCACCAATATAACCATCCTGTTAAAAAGTAATTATTAGCGTTAGTATTTATTTTAAGATTAATTTTTAAAAATTAATTAAACAAAATATATACCTTTTCGAGTAACAAGATGATTTGATGACAAATCTCACTAATGCTTTGTTTACTTGGATCAACTACAATATCCGCATCAGTTGGTGCTTCATATGGGTCATCAATGCCTGTAAAACCTTTAATTTCACCAGCTTGTGCTTTCTAAAATAGATAAAAAAAAATTGAACATTTACGCATACCAAATTAAAAAAATTCGAGTTTAATTAAAAAATAAGAAATATATATATACCTTGTAGACACCTTTTCTATCAGTTGAAATACAAAATTCTAGAGGTGAATTAACATGAATCAAATAGAATCCACCATATTGTTCTATTGCTTGCTTTACATGAGCTCGTGCATCTGCATACGGAGCGATTGGTGCAGCAATAACAGCAGCACCGGCTTTTGTAAGTTCAGCCGAGACAAACCCTATACGGGCAATATTTTGATCTCGAGCTTTCTTTGTAAAACCCAATTCTATTAAAATATAAGGTTAAATTAATTATTTATTCGTAATTTCCATAACATCAGTTCTCTTGAAAAAAAAAAAAAAAGCTTACCAGATGAAAGTTCACTACGTACGATTTCGCCCAATAACAAACTAACAGTTCTTCCACCTTGTTCATTAAGTATAACTTGTAAAGCTTTAGCAATCAAATCTTTACCGGAATTATAATAACCAGTAAGGAATAAGGTAAAGCCTTGCTTTGATTTTGGAGGATGTGTATCTCGAAGTACTTTTACAACTTCAGGATAAGAAAACCATTCTGGAATATGAAGGCCACCTCTAAGACGTCTTCGTAATTCAGTGCCCGAGATATTTAATGTTTGAGTACCTTTCGGTATTTCATCGATAGGCATATATTCATCAGATTCAGGAATATAAGTCATCATTTGAAATGGTACAACTTCAATTTGTAATTCATCCTTATATTTTCCAACTAATGCCTATTTTTTAAAATCAAATATTTGATTAATGAAAATTATCATGAAATAATGTAACAAGTTGAAAAAATTGAAAAAATTGAAAGTAAATTTTATTTTACCTGTGCATCATAAGGACCATAAAAATCAACACCTTTTGAATTCTTTCCAGGACCAGCATGATCTCTACCAATAATGAAATGCGAAGCACCAAAATTTTTTCTAATAATTGCATGCCAAAGAGCTTCTCTTGGACCACCCATTCTCATAGCTAAAGGTAATAAACCAAGAGTAGCCATTCCATTAGGATATTTTGGCATTAAAGCTTGATATACGCGAACTCTCGTGTAATGATCAATATCACCAGGTTTTGTTAAACCAACTACAGGATGAAGAAGAACATTTGCTTGTCGAATTCTAGCAGCTCTAACAGTTAATTCACGATGAGCTCGATGCATTGGATTTCGAGTTTGAAAAGCTACAACGCGTGTCCAATTAAGTTTTTTGAAATGAGCTCTAAGTTCGGTTGGTGTATCTATTTTTTTTTTTTTAAAAAAAAAAAATTAGTATGCAACTTTTTTTTTTAATAGCATAATGAAATATAAATGAATATATACATCTATGAGCTATATAGTCATAATGGATAGGAGCTTTAATCGCTTCAACACTCCCGCCAACATAGTATTCTTTAACATGATTATGAAGGTATTTTACGCTAGGATGTGCAAGATCATTATCACCAAAAACTTTTGTTGCTTCTTCAATTTTATTTGGTCGATAAATATCTTGAACAGTTAGAATAGCTAATCTTGAATCATCACGAGGATCACGTAATAATACACGTTTATTTGGAGCAAGATCCAATGCTTTGATATCAAATTCAGAAACATCCAAAGTGATAGGCATTGAAAATAGACAACCATTTGTTAGTCGAAGTTCGTTTAGAACCCTGTAGTTAAACAACAATATGAAAAATAAAAAACCGATCAATTTAATGTTTAATTGTTAGAAATTAAACGAACAAGGAGAACGCATTGAATAAAGGAAATCAACCTTTGGTAATCAGATTGGTTCATAAATCCTTCTAAAGGAGAGAATCCTCCATTCATGATAAGTTCCAAATCGCATAATTGACGGTCTGTCAATACGATAGAAGGTAAAGTTTCAGATTCAAGAAGCAATTCATCATGTTTATGAGCATCTCGAATATGTAAATCTTTAAGAACACCACCGTGAGGAGAATTAGCCATTTGAAAGTTTATGATATATATTATTAAAAAATTATCGAATTCGCTTTTAAAAAAAAATTCGAAGAAAAAAAAACTACCTGGTCTATAAATAATTTAAATTGAATGATCAATTATGAATTAATAATCATCGAAAGGATTTTCATTAGACTAATACGTGCATATTATTATTGACATTCACGCGCTCTTTACGTCTATCGTTTTTGCGTAAAAAAATGACGACATCGGTAGATTAGATAGGATCATAGTATTTATATGCGATTTTTAGGCATCATACTTGCATTGTTGTAGTACTATTAACATTATTTGTTTATTATCTTTGCAGATTTGTTTATTATTCGTCATTTATATTATATGCAATCGCAATTTTCCCGTAGTCAATAATTTTTTAAGTATTCCTTCGAGTTTTCTGAATTTGACCAAATTTTGCTTAGAATAATCTTGTATTTCTATAATTTCTTTTTGATGGATAAAAAAAATGAATATCTCCCGACTATCAAATCACGTATTACTTTGATAAGTAAGATCACGATCCGCCAATAGGTCATTTTAATCGACAAATGAACGATCCCAATATAAGAAAGTAGCCAAAATGAATAAAAAGAACAATGGGCTGATGTGGACAAACCAAATAATTATTATTGTTCACATTAGTTCTCTTTATAGTTTCAGCAGATGCATTTTTAATTACCATCTCTATTTGGTCGAACTTAATCTTAGCAGTAACTTAATACTTAGAAATTAGCTCCATTAAACTCTCTTTCAAGATGAACACCTTTTTATTGTAAGATGAGTACAATGTTTGAGACCTTTGCTAATAAAATACCACCTTCGGGACATGTAAATCATAATCCCGAAAGGTCTTTTTTTTAGCGATGATCCCACAAAGATGAATACAAATATAGGGTTTTTTTTTCTATTCAATGAATAATTATCCTAATTTATACTATATATTATTTAACGTTAGACTATCTCACGTTGGTCCCCCACATTTAATAAAATGTGTGTTACGTTGTAATTCACAAATAATAATCGGTAAAAATTGCGTGAATTGTAACATAACTTTTGCAATCTCGAATTATCATGTGATTGTCTAATTTGTAATAAATGTTACCATAGCCACGTATTACTCGCAGTACATTATATATATATATATATATATATGATATATATATATATGGTCTCGAAAGATGATGCAGTGATTCTGTAATTTAGGTATCTCTGCGATTTTGTCCATATCAACTTAATACTTGTCATGTAAAGTTAGTTTGTTCTCATACATGAACTAATTTTAAGAATGATCCAACGAATTTTTATCCGGTGAGCGAAGTTTGTGTATCACATTTAAAAATAACCAACAAGATGCAGAAAATGGCTAGGTGTTACGTCAGAAATTTACAATAATCATGTTATTGGGGTCATTTTAATCGCTGATTTATTAATAGTGGATGCCAAGTCATAGCGATGGCCCTTGGCCACCGTTATATCTCAATTTCCTAGTGAATAATCAGTTATCGTCAACAACATTATCAAAGCTCTCCCTAGAGTTTTTTTTATATCTTGTAAAAAAGCTTCTTTTTTTTTTCTTTTTTTTTTTTTTTTTTTTTTTTTTTTTTTAATTTTTTTTTTTTTTTTTTTTTTTTTGGAGGGCTTTTTAAATTATTTTCTGCCCCTTCGTTCATTCATTGTACCTAAGGAATAAGTTTAAAACCGT